TTTGTCATACGCATATGTAACTATTTATATTTATACAATTGTTAAATATTTCGTTGTTTGAATATATATTTTTAAGTCCCACGCGCAAGAGACAAGACACTTTTTTCGTAAAGACGTGTTTCTCTGTTTTATCGACTACGAAAAAGCGTTTGATCAAGTAAAACACACAGAACTCATAGAAACCCTAACACAACACGGTTTAGACCATAACACTATAGCACTCATTAAAAAACTGTATTGTGATCAAATGGCGTCGATTAAAATAGACAATCGTCTGACAGCAGAATTGCCAATAAAAAGAGGAGTGCGTCAGGGCTGTGTACTTTCTGCACTGTTATATTCCGAAAAGATCTCTCAAAATGCCCTCGAAAAATTAAAGAAGGAATAAAAATCTACGGAGAATACGTAAGCAACTTAAGATACGCAGACAACACCGTCATTATTGCGGAAAGTGCTGAGGGTTTACAACGACTTTTGAATGTCATAACCAGAGAGGAAGATAGCTTGGGACTAAATATAAACACAAATAAAACAAAAGTAATGGCTGTTACACGTGCACCAAATGTCGACATTAATATTCGTATCTACAGCAAACATATGAAACCAGTACAAAGATTCCAGTATCTTGGTTGCTGGATAACAAACTATCTTGACCACGAGGTCGAAATAGTGCTCGTATAGAATATGCTATGTCCGCATTTCCAATTGGAATATCCAATATATTCCGATACCAATTCTTTAAAATAGTTTATTTATTCCATATTGCTATACGGAGTGGAAACAAGGACTTTCGAAGTTACAAGTATGAGGCCTATAGAAGCCTTTGAGATGTGGGTTTTTCGAAGAATGCTGAAGAGCCCTTGGACAGAGCACGCGACCAACAACGAGGTGTTAAGAAGAATGGGTGCTGAGGGAGAACTCCTAAAGGTCGTGGCATATTATCATACACTTTGCGTTTCCGGTACATACGTTTTCGGTCGAGCAAACGGACTGCGCGTTCACATTTCATACATAGAGCGTTTCAGTTTGATGCGGTTTGGACTGCGTGTTCACATTTTCATACATACAACGTTTCAGTTTGAGTGGTAAAGATGTGTTCTCGCTTTTCGCGTCAAAAATTATGTGCAATTGCGCTTCTACTTGATGATGAAAAAAGAAAAACTGTAGTAAAAAGGAGGTTTGGAGTACATCCAATGTTAAGAGAAAGAAAAAAGGAAGGTGAATACTGAACTTTATACAAAGAATTAATTCATGACGATGAAAAATATTATGGATATTTTAGAATGAATAGGGTTCATTTGAATATATTTAATTTAATTACACCTTTAGTTAAAAAACAAAATACTACATTTAAAGAAGCCATAACACCTAAAGAAAAATTAGCTGTGTGTTTAAGGTAAAGTTAAAGCAAAATTTTCTATTAACAAAATTAACTTATTTATTTCTTAAAAATAAAGTATGAACAAACGAATCCTACTAAAAAAATTAATATTAGCAACATAAATTTTTATATACAGGGTGTCCCAAAAGTAGCGGAACGGTCGAATATTTCGCGAAATGAACATCGGATCGAAAAACTGAAAAATACGTTATTCAATCATTTTCAAAATCTATCGAATGAGTACCAAAAACGACTCCACACGCCAACCCCTAGAGGTGAGGTGGGGACTAACCTTTATAATCTTAAAGAGAAACCCCCATTCGTTATTGCAGATTTGGATTCCTCATGAAATATAAAGTAACATTTATTCGAAACATTTTTAGAATTGTTTATAAATGGCGCTATAAACTCGACAATTCATCAGCGCCATCTATCAACAATTCTAAAAAATAATTTCGAAAAAATGATATTTAATCTTATCACAAGGAATCCAAAAATTGCAATAAAAAACGGAGTGATACTTTACAATTAAGAGCCCACCTCCAGCGTCTGGAGTGGGTTTGGTGTCATTCCGATAGATTTTTGAAAATGATTGAAAACGTCTTTTTTCAGTTTTTCGATCAAATGTTCATTTCGCGTAATATTGGACCGTATCCGTTGCTTTTTGGGACACCCCTGTAATTAAAAACACATCAGTCGGTTGTTTAGAGGGGGGTCGATTGCCTCCATCGCCCTTTCCTGGATCCGCCACTGCATGCTTTCGTTATCAAAAACCATATTTCTCTGAAACATGTTTATTCGAATTTCCGATATTGGATGCTGCAGATTCTTTGGTTGAGTGTGAACATTCAGTTGTCTGAGGTGAATGCATCTGGCGTAATCGGGGCTGAATTATTACTGTTAAGCTGGCCACTATAGGCAGGATAGTTTACCCGATAGATGTTATGGATTTCCTTATCGCAGGTGGATTAAGGATGAGTTAATAGATTGTAGTTCTATCTCCCCGACAATGAAGAAACTCTTGCGTTTGCCAATGCTCTGTAATATGGTGGCATCTTTTTTACTGTTTTGGGCCAAACCATAAAAAAGCGCTTCGACTTCGTCTTTTTCTTCGGATTTATAGGAGATAATCCATAACCACAGATGCAGCAGTACGTCATGTCTTTTTTTCTTTGGCAATTGCGGAGTTTCAAATACACTTCTTTTTGGGCTTTGTTTTTCGTAGGACACCTCAACAGTTAAAAGATTTATTTTAGTCTCTACTATCTCTGAGTCGGCTTCAGCTTCAACTTGCGACTCTTCTTGTTCGGGAATTTCGATTGTAGAGAAATGGTAGACCTATCTTGAAGGAAAGGAATAAGGAAGTTCATTTCTTCTTCAAACTTCCAATTTTTAGTTATAATTGCGGCCCTGCCACTCTTTGTTTTTTATCGCTTTTTTGCTGTCGCCTAAACGCATCTCTAAGGGAATTCCATTGCTTTTTACAATCCTATAGCTAAAAAAAAAACATTAATTAATAAATAAAATTTTATTTTAGGTTTCCTACTACTGGGATTCATTCAAAACAATTTCATATAGTTTTCGACTCGGACAGTCCACGGTCAAATTAATCATTATGATGTTACAAACGCAATTATTTTTACTATGAAATCAGAATGTATTCCTGTCCCCTACTCCTGACAAGTGGCAAGAAATAGCTCAAGACTTTTGGGAATTGTGGAACTTTCCCTAATTGCATTGGGCGATCGGATGGGAAACATGTTCAAATAATTGCCTCCAGCAAATAGTGGTTCATTATTTTTTAATTATAAAGAAAACTTTTTCCATAAACCTAATGGCATTGGTGGATGCTAGGTATAAGTTCATTGTTGTAGACATAGCAGCTATGGCAAGAATAGTGACGGAGGCATTTTTCATAATTCCTATTTAAAAACATATTTAGAAAACGAAATTAAGTTTAGAGGATAAACCTGTTACCAGGAATGAAATTGAAGATGCCACATGTTATTGTAGTTGATACAGGCTTTCCCCCTTAAAGCCCTACTTAATGAGTAGCCATATCCTGCAGCTCAATGTGATGACATAGAAAAACAACAGTTCAATTACCGATTATCAAGAGCTAGGAGGGTAGTAGAAAATGCCTTGGAATCTTATCTCAAAGATTTCGAATTTATAAATAGAGAGAATACAATTGAAACCAGAATTTGTAGACAGGGTGGTACTAACTACGTGCATATTACATAATTTTATTGGGCCCATTCAGAACATTTATTACCTAATGACAAAAAAAAATGACGAGGAATTTACTAGTCTGCCTAGAGCAGGGTGGAAATAATTCATTATTAGCATTCACAGTAAAGGGACAACTTTAAAATATTTTTTCAATCTGCTGCTGGAAACTTGACTGGCAACAATAATTTCTAGTTATTTTGTAATTATTACATTTTGGACGGATTAAATATTTGTCGTTTAATTTGATACCTACTTACCATTTTGTCCTAATTTTCGTGCGATTTCCTCCAAATATTTTCTTTTTTATTGGCATCATGATAGCATTTATTGGCATTGTAATTATATAAAAGTTTCTTCCACCGCGTACAAGTTCAATTAATTTTTCTAAATCCATTTTAACACAAAGAATGTCACCAAAGCAATGAAAACACATGTATAAATGACAAAATAGTCTCGAAAATTATTTTTTTCAAATACTCTGTATCAAAATCAAACAAATCCCTAAATAAACAACGAGGGAAACGACGGACCCCTAATTCACATGTTCCGTACCAACACGGTTTACGGCCCGTTACGTAGCTGTAGGTATCAGTAAAATATTGAATTTTGAATGTACTGAACGGTCCACGTTAGGTGTCTGTAACGGTACCTTCCGACAGTGTGAGTTGTTTATATTTAAAAACCATTTAAATGATATTTTTTCGAAAACTAAACGCTACAAGCTGAAACGCAAAGTGTATGATAATATGCCACGACCCTTAAATATCATAAAAAACAGAAAGAATAAGCTATCTAGGATATATTTACAGAGGAGAAAAATACAACTTCTCTAGGACTTATAGTGGAAAGGACAGTGGAAGGAAGAAGAGGTCCCAGAAGAAGAAAATGCTCCAGTTGAAAAATGTAAGAGACTGGACAGTATGGACACACATTTGATACTAAGAACAGCTCAAGATAGAGTGCAATTTGCTGCAGTTATAGACAACCTTCAGTAATGGAGAAGGCACCTTAAGAATGAAAGAATGCTTTTTGTTTTTTGTAATCTATGTTAAGGTCCTAAATAAACATTATTATTTTTATAATGAATAATGAGATCTGAATCATAATTTTCAGCTCTTGTGCATGTTAGTTGGCCCAAATATAATTTTATTCTGATCTATTCTGGTCTTTAAACCGATTTATTAAATGCAATATCTTTGCCATCGAAATTGACGCCTGACATTATTTTATGAGTCTACGCTGAAGATCTGTCATGCCGGCGCATCATCCTGTTCAAGTCAAAAAAAGGAGTAAAGAATACAACAACATATTTTATTTAGAATATTTACCTAAAAAAATAGAAATAAATTATAAACATAATATTATAACTTATTTATTTATATAATTTATTTAAAATTTATTTACATGAAAGTTACACTGTCTACACCAGACAATATTGTATTACAATTGTATGTCAATACAATTACATATACAATATATTGTATATAAAAAATATAAAAATACTTGAGAATCAACTTAAATGGACTCTTAGAACATGTCTCATTTGTTAATAGGATATTTTTATGCGCTTGTTTTTCTCCAGTAGGTCTTAATATAAAAGTCGCCAAATAAAAGAGTCATAAAGATATTTTGAGTTACCCATATCATGGTTCCGAACGAAGTAGGATTCTTGCAGCCAGGCAGTACCAGGTTGATAAAGCATGGCATACAAACAAAAAGAATTGAATCTGAAAATAAAAATTTTTGTTATTGTATTAAATTAATATTAATAATAATATTCATAATAACTTTCTCAACAGAAAGAATGCGCTAATAGTCTAGGCGGGATCTGTTTTGGATTGGAAATTTTCGAAGGGAAGCTATTTTTTTGCTGGAATCCCTTCAGGATGTGCTCATTATCGATAATCACGATATGCGCCAGTCGCAAACTCTGTGCTAAATTTTTTATTTAACAAAATCTGAAAACAATTGAAAATTTCTCATTTTTTTGCACCTATTTTCATTTATAATTCGGAAAATATTGATCCTAGAGAAAAAATTTATAGGTAGTTAAAAGTCTCGTTATTAAATTTTACACAATATTTTGTTAGCTAGAAATTGAAAATTTGATGGTTATTGTTGAAAAAAAAAGAACTAATTGGAAAAAAAAGTACAAAAAAATGAAGTTAATCCTTTAAATGTTTTCGACTTTCTAAACTTGACTTACAAGTTTCATATTCCGCCTTAGAAAAACTTTTTAATATGTTTAAAAACGTGTGCTAAATTTTGTTAAGATCGTCGGATAGTGTTTTGCATATATAATTTTGCAATCCAGCCTAACTGAAAAAAAATCGCAAATTTTCAAATTCATAGTAGAGCCCTAAATAAGGCCCTCAGATAGTTGCAATTTTTTTTACATATAAAGGAAGTCTCAAACTTTCAAACGCTTTTTGTAAAATTTAAATCGGTTTACTAGGAGACCCTAGAATTTTTTTTAAAGTTATAAACATTTTTTAGGCTTATAAACAAATTAAATAACTTTACGAGCTTTAAACATATCAATTTCAAAATGTATTCACTTAAAGAACATTAAAAGACGCTTCTTTTAAAAAACAAAAAGATACATTCGGCTTACTGGTTGCCGAGATGCTGAAGGTCAAAGTTGGTATACATTTGCCGTGTAACCATAAGTGATAGAGGGCTCGTTTTTAAACAAATACCCTCGTCTTGCCAATACTTTTTATATTAAAAGTTTTACGTAATGCGCTTCATGACAACATCCATAAAAAAGGCAAATAAAAAAACCATTTTCGCGTAATAATGTCGCCTCGGAATGCATGAGAGGTGGTGGTGAGGGACATTCACTTTAAATGTAATCGGCGAGTATCAGTAGGAGACCATCAGTTTGTTTAATTTCGGGTTTTGAAATATAAACAAAAGTAAAGTGCTCCAAAATCTGTAAGGGCTTGTAAAGTAAATTGTTACTTTTATAAACATAATATGTATTTATAAGTTGTTAATAAATAATTTGAATTGTTAAAAACGAAGGATATTTTTTTTGTAAAAATCAAACATTTTAAAATAATTAACATTAAAAATAATTTATTGCTGCAGTTTTATCATAATAATGACATTATTTGATTTGAGAATATTTTTGATTCGAAAGTGACGTGTATATTGTATATTGACGTGTTATTATAAATATTGCTGTGTAATGCTCGAAATTGTTTTTTTTTTGAGCTTGCAATTTATACATTGAAGTAAATTGTTACTTTTAGTAAACAAATATGTATTTATAAATTGTTAATAAATAATTTAAATTGTTTAAAACAAAGGCGAATGAAACAAAAATTTTCTTTTCATAAATAATCTTTATTTTGACTCAATGTTCAATAATTTTTTTTGATTAATTTAAAAAAGTCTTTTTCTTTTTTTGGAAGGACAAGAATCTTCAGGTTTTATTTCTTCCTCAAAACCTTCATTTTCCATTTCAATATCTTCATCCTCGATCTGTAAATTTAATGTTTTTCTTCTCCTTCATCTGTAGCTATATCTTGTGCCTCCAAAAATCTAAGGAATCCATCGACTCCATATCCATATCTCTTTCAACTTCTTCCAATATTTTATTGTGATCAATATTTTTACATGTTTGACCATTGCAGTGAAGACAATAGTCAGAACATTTGAGACCTATGTTTGATACAACTGCATGTTTTTGTACAAAGTTTTTTTACATTTGCAACTAATATTTCTGATAATGAGTCAGGTAGTAATACTTGCTCAGTTGGTATTGGCTCAAGACCATTCTGAGTTAGTTCCCACCCCCACTCAGTAGCATTCAGGTTATTTTCAAGCCACTGCTGTACTTGGAAATATACACGAAGCGAGTGTTGCTCAGCTGCAGATTGTGTAGGTGGCAGCATGGACAATCGAAAATTATTTTTTTTGCAACCTTTTTTAAAGCACAAGTAGCGAATGTAAATCGCGATGCAATGCCGATATAATTTTGCATCCGCTGCGTTTAATTTCTTCCTTAGTGGCACTTTTTTCATTAAAAATGGTTGCTTCTTACCATATATCATTATTTGTTGAAACCAATTTAACAATTTTGCTTTTTCCTTGATAAAAAAATGCAGAGGTTGTATCACAACCAAAATATATAAACTTTTTATTAGTTTTTGAAATACAAAATATTTTATTGTTAAAACTCACGGATTTAACATATATAACTACTATATAATAGCGTTGAACATAATATGATCAAACCACTGAAAAACGTGTTCAGCACGCCTTTAATACAAGCCCTTACAGATTTTTTGGAGCACTTTACTATTTGTTTTTATTTCAAAACCCGAAAGTAAACAAACTGATGGTCCCCTACTTGATACTCGCCGATTCACATTAGAAGTGAATGTCCCTCATCACCACCTCTCATGCATTCCGAGAGACATATTACGCGAAAACGGTTTTTTATTTGTCTTTTTTATGGATATTGCCATACAAGCGCATTACGTAAAACTTTTCATATAAAAAGTATTTGACAAGACGAGGGTAGTTGTTTAAAAACGAGCCCTCTATCACTTATGTTACACGGCAAATGTATGCCAACTTTGACCTCAATATCTCGGCAACCAGTAAGCCGAATGTATCTTTTTGTTTTTTAAAAGAAGAGTCTTTTAATGTTTCTTTACGTGTATACAATTTTGAAATTGATATGTTAAAAGCTCGTAAAGTTATTTAATTTGTTTATAAGCCTAAAAAATGTTTATAACTTTAAAAAAATTTATAGGCTTTCCTAGTAAACCGATTTGAATTTTACAAAAAGCGTTTGAAAGTGTGAGACTTCCTTTATATGTAAAAAAATTGTAACTATCTAAGGGCCTTATCTAGGGCCTACTATGAATTGAAATTTGCGATTTTTTCCAGTAGCTGGATTGCAAAATTATTATGCAAAACCTATCCGACCGATCTTAACAAAATTTAGCCCACTTTTTAAACATATTAAAAAGTGTTTTCTAGGCGGAATATGGAACTTGTAAGTCAAGTTTAGAAAGTCGAAAACATTTAAAGAATTAACTTCATTTTTTTTGTACTTTTTTTCCAATTATTGCTATTTTTTCAACAATAAACCATTAAATTTTCAATTTCTAGCTAACAAAAATATTGTGTAAAATTTATATGCCGAAACTTTTAACCACTTATAATTTTTTCTCTAAGATCGATATTTTTCGAATCATAAATGAAAATAGGAGCCAAAAAAATGGGAAATTTTCAATTGTTTTTCAGATTTTTTAAATAAAAAATTTAGCACAGGGTTTGCGACTGGCGCATATCGTGATTATCGATTACTGGGCATATCCTGAAGGGATTCCAGCAAAAAAATAGCTGCCCTCGAAAATTTCCATTATGGTCTGAATTTCTACAGATGCCGCCTAGTCTATAAGGGCTTCATAGGTTGTAAAGAGCAACTTATTATCGAATCAGTTATTTCTAACCAGACATACTTCAAACAAAGGAATTTTTTTGCTGCCTTCATTGACTACAAGAAGGCATTTGATTCAGTGCCGCATAAATGGCTTATAAATATTTTGAAAATGAATAAAGTCGATGATAATCTAGCGATCTTTTTAAAGCATATAATGGCAAAGTGGACGACTAAAATTCACCTTCAAATCCCTGGAGAAACAAATATCGAAACTGAAGATATCCCAATTAACCGGAGCCTTTTCCAGAAGGACTCGTTAAGTCCACTTTGGTTCTGTTTAGCAATGAACCCACTATCTCAGCTACTGAACTCCACTGACTTTGGATTTAGCATCAAAAATAACAATACAGCTGTGGCGAAGCTAAATCATCTGTGGTAGATAGATGATTTGAAATTAATAGCTTTCACTAAAAACCACGTAGATCAGTTGCTAAAAACTGTAGAAACTTTCTCAAATGATATAATTATTGATTTTGGACTAGACAAGTGCGGTATACTAAATATAGTCAGAGGAAAGGTTTAGCCCGGAGGTTTCGATATGCAAGATTGCCAAAACATCGGGGCAATAGGTGATGAAAAATGATATTGTAATATTTTTATTAGTCCTAATTTATTGTCTTTATTCTAATTTATTGGCTTTATTCTAATTTACTGCCTTTATTCTAATTTATTAAAACTCACGATAATTTATCAAAAGTCTTTATTTTATACTAATTTATTTTAAACTTAATAATTACAAATAATTCATTTGCGTTCGAACAATTTTAAACCGATATCGCGAGCTTCTTGTTGACTACTCACTGGCCCTTACCATCCCGGCCAGTATCAAAGACGCACCAGGGTTGGCATCCGTCTTTCGAAGGAAGTTCGGTCCAGTTGCAGAACTTCAATGCCAAGTGCCAGCTCCCGGTAAAACCTTGAAACTCCAAGATGCATCACGTTACCTTTTCTACCTGGTAACAAAAGACACTGCCCGTGACCAACCTACCTACCGAGATGTATGGGAAGCCTTACTTCAGTTGAGAGAGCACGTACTAGAGTCTGACGTGCAAAAAGTTAGCCATGCCAAAGTTGAGGAGTGCCATAAATTAGATTGGAGGGTTATACGAAATATGGTGGAGGAGATCTTAAAGAGACACCGAAGTCCAGGTGTTAGTCTGTTGCAATCCGCATAGTTTACTGGTGCGAAGAGAAAATCGTCCCTTGTCATTTCTATACAACTGGAAGTTGTAAAGAGGGTCCAGTTGCCGATATCAGCATGTCGTTCCAGTTCCAGTCCCGACAAGGTTCCAGGAGGAAACATCTTTTAAGAGGGGGACAATGTTACGATTTTAAATGTTATGGCGTATAAAACTATAAATATTTTATGACTAATTCTTTTGTATTGATTCTCGTAATTTCTAGTCCAAAATCTACCTGACATCATTTGGGTAACCCTTCGCTAAACAAACAACAATCGAATTTTCTGGGGACGAGCCGATGAAGAACATACCAGTTTTGAGACCGGTTGCCGCTGTGTCTACGTCGAGAACGGCATCGTATTTTCTACAAACTTCTGTTTACCAGCTGGTTTCGTATAAATAACGGAAGATTTTCATTGAGGAGTTACTCAACAAGAAGCTCGCAATATCGGTTTAAAATTGTTTTGTAAACGCAAATAAATTATTTGTAACTATTAAGTGTAAAATAAATTAGTATAAAATAAAGACTTTTGATAAATTATCGTGAGTTTTAATAAATTAGAATAAAGACAATAAATTAGAATAAAGACAATAATTAGAATAAAGACAATAAATTAGGACTAATAAAAATTATAAAATATGTACAAATATCTCGGAGCAAAGACAAGCGCGGAAAACTGACCATAAACAAATGAAAACAAACTAACTTCGAAGTTCGTGCAAACAGTCAGAACTAAATCGGTCATATCTTAGTAGTAAAAATTTGTTTAAGGCATTAACGTCAAAACCGGATATAGAGGGTCTTCAGCGGAAAATTGCAACACTTCTCATTCACAAAGGCGCAAAAACCTTTGTGAATGAGAAGTGTTATTTCATGTGTTGGTAATATAAAAATTACCAACACATGAAAATTTAATTTTAAGGCAATAAGTACAGGAGTTACAAGGTACACGTGCGGCGTGCGAATGAATTTTCGGTATTAAAAGTTCATTTGACATACTGTTTTCTGACATAGTTGTAAGCCAAATTATAAAAATGACCAACATGGAAGAACAGCGTTTAAAAAAAATTAAATTGGTTTTCAAGCATATTTTGGTCTTTAATTTTTTGCTGAAGTTTTATGGTAAATCAACTAAAAGTTTGTGGGATAAAGAAATGAATCGCTGTATATTTCGAGCAAACGATATCCTTTGAAGTATTTACAAAAATTTAAAAGTAACACGTTTTGATAACAAGATTACTAGACAAGGTATGATACGTTCTGATAAACTTGCTCCAATACGTGAAATTTGAGAAAAATGGATAGAAAATCTACCAAAATTTTTTACCTCTGATGAAAATGTTGCCGTCAATAAACCTTCGTTTAAAGGCCCCTGTCTCTACAAACAGTACATTGTAAGCAAGCCAGCAAAATATGGCATAAAAATTTGGGCCTTATGTGACAATAAAACTTTTTATGCTCGAAAATTGCAGATCCATAAGAAAGGAAGCAGATGTCGCACCAGAACGAAATCAGGAAACACGTGTGGTGGGCAACTTGGGTAGTGTTTTAGAAAGCCAAAATATTACTTGTGATACGTTTTTAATCGTACAATTTAGAACCACGTTTTCTATCAAAATAATAAACCTTAGCTTTCTGCACAAATCGCGAATAAAAAAGTTTATAGTTTAGCTTTTTTACTTCATGCAAGATACCACTGTTGTTAACTTTATTTCTAAAAAAAGTAAAAATGTTATTCTTATGAGTACTTTGCATCATGAAAAGCCCCAAATTATTTTAGATTACAGTTCCAGTAAGGGAGTATTGGATATTCTAGTTCAGCTTGTTGGTACATATATTTGTAAGAGAAAGATAAATCGCTGACCCATGATTGTTTTTTATAGTCTAATTTATTTACTTTATTTATTATAAAAGATTCTTCTTCTTCTTCTCGTGCCACTCCTAGCGGAGATTGGAAATCATCATGGCCACTGGGACTTTGTTAGCAGCGCGCCTAAAAAGTTCAATCGAACTACACACGAACCATTCACGTAGATTACGAAGCCACGATATTTTTTTTTCTCACACTTTTTTTGTTCTTAATTTTGCCCTGCATGATGTTTTTTAAAAGTTCGTACTTTTCACGTCTCACAATGTGCCCCAAGTATTCCATCTTTCTAGTTTTTATCTCATTTAGAATTTCGCATCTTTTGTCTAAAAATTGGAGTACTTGCGTGTTAGTGACGCGGTCCATCCATGATATTCTGAGAATGCGCCTAAAGCACCACTTCTCAAAATGCTTCGATGTTTTTTTATGGTCAACTGTTTTAGTGTCCAAGCCTCAACTTCATATAACAGGGTAGAAAAGACATAACACCGCAGCATTCGTATTCGTAACTTTATATTGATATCACGATTGCAAAAGAGTTTGCGCATTCTATTAAAGATTGATCAAGCGATTTCTATTCTACATCTAATCTCTTCTGTTTAATCAGTATCGTCTGTGATCCAAGCACCTAGATATTTATAACAGGGCACACGCTCAATCGTTGTATTGTCTTTTCTGAATCCCATCTGAGTGTTACTGATGTCTACGTCTAATTTCCTATAGATCCTATTATGGATTATTTTTAAGAACAGTTTTAGAGCATGACTCATCAAAGCTATCGTACGATATTCGTATGCATTCCTTTGTATTTGCCTTTTTGGCAGTAGTATAAAGGTCGAACGGAGCCATTCCCTAGGTATTATTCCAGTTCTATATATTGTGTTAAATAGATCTAGGAGTAATTTTAATAGATTCATCGTCCATAAGTTTAAGCAGTTCTACAAGAATTTCATCAGGACCGGGGGCCTTACCACTTTTTGCTTGTTTGATTGCATATTCTATTTCTTCTCTGATTATACTAGGCCCTGTATCATCTGTATATTCGTTTGATATTTCTTGTCTATCTTTGTCATCAAACAGTTGTGATATGTATTCTGTCCATCGGCTCATTTTTTGTTGTAAATCTGTTATAATTATACCATATGTATCTTTGATCTGTCCTGTCTGTGTTGTTTTTCTCCTTCCTGTCATTTCTTTAATATTTTTGTGTACATTAAAAAACTCATATTTTCGCTCCAATTGTTCCAACTCCTGGCATTGCTCACTTAGCCATCTTTCTCTAGCTTCTCTTATTTTCTTTTTTATCAGTTTATCTGTTTCTTTGTATCTTATTGGATTATTTGTTTTGTGTACCCTTCTTTCGCGCATCACTGTAGTATTTCTTCATTTATCCATTATTTATGTTTTCTTTCTTTCGGTGTTAAATTTTCTCTCCCTGCCAACATTACGGCATGTTTAATATTCTCCCATTTTTGGTCTATGTTATCAGTATTTCTATTAAGTTTCTCTATATTTTGTAAATTTTCTTTGATGTTCACTATTGTTTTCTCTTTTATATGTTGTTCATTCAATTTTCTCACGTCAATTTGTTTCTGTATGTGTTTTTTAATGATCTTTAGTTTTATTCTTAATGTGAGTACTACAGGATTGTGATCCGAGCCTATATCTGCTCCTGGGTAGGTTTTAGCTGAGAGTATAGAGTTGCGGAATCTTTGACTAACAAGGACAAAGTCAATTTGGTTTCTGACTACTCTACCTTTGGTGTCACTCGGAGATTTCCATGTGTACAGTCGTCTGTTAGGTAACTTGAAAAGAGTGTTAGCAACTACTAACTCCTTCGCTTGACAAAATTGTACCATACGGTCTCCTCGTTCGTTTCGTTCTCCTAATCCATAGTCACCCACATAACCGTCCACATCTATGTCCAATTTTGGCATTAAATTGCCCTATTACTACTGTAGTATGATGTTTCTTCATTGATTTTAGAATTTGTTCCTGATCGTAATATAAACTTTTAATTTTATCATCATCTTTATTAGCCGTAGGAGCATATACTTGTATAATATTTATAATTTGTTTATTTGACTGAAGTTGTAGTGTCATTATTCTATGTAGTATATATATATATATTATATATATATATATATATATATATATATATATATATATATTATAAATCACGTGGACCCTCTGGCCGGCTCATGTATTTTAAATGAGCTCGAGAAGCCGCTGTTGAGCTACAAAGCATTTTCTGAGGACCTAGCGCGTTAGTCCACGTTGGCATCATACGGTCCGTATGTAACTTTTATGCCTGAGGACGTGTTTGTCTCTCATGGAAGAGACCCGTTAATGAAAGAAAACAAAAAAAAACCTTTTGTTTTTGTTAATAAGAATTAATTTACATTAACAAAATAATTTTTGTTTAATTAACCATAATTTTTGAAAATAAAGTTTTTTACGCACTATTAGCTTACTTTATTTTGATTAAGAAGCATATACTATAATTAAGTCATATTGACCTGAACAGTACATTTGTGTAGTTAACTCAAACGGGATAGCAGGGTAAATATTAAATGTGGAACAATAAGTTAAAATGTATAAATGATTTATAATTTTACTTACCAGTTGTAACTGCGTTAATCGCTTTTTTAAGTCTGTTCTCTTCTTCCATTCGGGGTCTATGCTGGATAGTAAATAATAAGTAAACATTACAGCATGAACGAAGCAATTTAGCGCTGGTACAAAAAGGACTAGTGGCCCCAGGTTAAATTTTAGTGAAATCCATGTAAGTAATACCATACCACTATGATGGTATACATGCAGAAAGCTCACTTGTCGGTAATTTTTCTTCAGTACAAAGAAAACCTAAAAACAATTGACAACTCTTAACTAAATTTAAAAATAAATAATACTTTCGTTCCCTTTCTGCTTTGCAACCTTAAACTAAGAGTGTCTTACAAAAATAACGTGATACCCAATTTTTTTAAAACTCACTTTCTCAATGTTCTCACACAGTACAAAAATTACCATCTAATATATACCGACGCATCTAAAATACTAAATGAAGTAGGAGCATGCTTTGTGATATCACATGAACATTCTAGCATTATTTGCCATAATTAACGCCCCAACCTTTATTCTAGAAAAAAACTTCCAAATCTCTTATATCAGATTCACTTAGTTCTCTGACATCAATATCTCAGATTTATCTCCCTCATCCAACAATACAGCAGATTAAGTTAATTTACTACATATATACTAAAACAATTTGACAGTAGAGTTCCTCTGTGTAGCGTCACACGTTGGAATAGATGGTAACAAAAAGCAGATAGTCTAGCTAAGTCCGCAGTAACCAATACAGCTGAATCAGTGGAACATCTAACGGTGCATTTAGATTTATAACCTCACTTAAAAGCAAAATTGCACGATGTTTGGCAAAACCAATGAAACAGAAGCCTATTAGAACTATTAGAACAATATCAAGTCCTAGCAACACGTCTCAGATTAGGACACACTTCTACAACACATGAATACTTGTTGACGAGAGAAGGAAACCAGTGTGTTTTGTTTGTGAATGTAAAGTGACAGTGAAGCACATACAAAGACTATATCACCACATTCTAAAAACATTAAAAGAACTTCTAGGAAAATCTAAATACGTAGCTGACTTGATAGAATTCTTAAAATCTATAATATCAGCCAAGATTATGTCGACAGTACAGCGTCGAACTATTGGTTGACATCAGGAAAGATGTTTTCAGAGACTGAAGGTTTCCTACTTGCCATTCAGGATCGAGTTATTCCAACAAAAATTATCTGAAATATCCTCAAGTTAAAGATCCTCAAGTCCAAAATGACAAACGCCGATATGGATGTCAAGTCCAAGAAACTATCCAATATCTTACCGGTATCTAAGCATTTGTCGGTACTGAATATAAAGAACGTCATAACTCAGTAGGAAAGATTATTCACTAAGAATTTGCTGATAAACTGGGACTTCTCTAAACGACCATCTTCCTTATTATCAATACGTCCCTGACAGAATGCTTGAAAATGACAACAAGCTACTTTGGGACTGCATCGTGCTAACAGATCAACCAGTGACGCATAATGGCGGATTTCACACTAGTTAATAAACTTACTAGGCAAACAACACTTATTGATGTGGCGATTTTATTGATCCCACGAGAATCATAAATAATGGCAAAAATCGAAGCACGTTAATTTATTTAACACTGGTATAAAAACTAAATTTACTTTCGGCATAGTACAAAAACTGCATACGAAAGCTGCACTCTTTTTCTTTAAAACGCATTTTGATTTTTGTCGATAGGGCATTTACATCAAAACATATCGAATTTTTTACCGTCCAGCTGATACACATTTTATTGAACATAGATTTCGCGCGCGTAACTGACGTGCAACACTTACTGTCGCTTCAAGCGTTGGTCTTTTACTTCTTACTTACTTCTTACTTCTTAGTGTGTGTTAATAAAAGTATTTGGAGCCAGTTTAAGTAAAACACGATTTTATTAAGGTTTAATAAGTAGAGTAACATTAATCACTATTTTAACTGGGAATAAGCCACAATTAAAGATAAAAATACGTTTATTGACGTTTCAATTTCCACTTCGGAAATCGTTCTCAAAATACAGAATCAAAATATAGAACGATTTCCGAAGTGGAAATTGAAACGTCAATAAACGTATTTTTATCTTTAATTGTGGCTTATTCCCAGTTAAATAGTAATTAATTTACAATGCCACAAGAAAATAGCTTCAGAACAATATAGAGTAACATATTACAAAATAATATAAAAAGTAAACTAATGTTAAAAACACTGGACAGAACATTAAAAAAAACTATTTTCTACTCCGATTAAAAAGAGGAAACTTTTAGTTAATCCGAATAAGTTCAGTTTGGCACTCTTCGCATACTGCACGTGTATGTTCTCTGCATACAAACATTTTACATTTACAGCAGGAAACAGTCGTTTTCCGGTTCTTTTTACGGTAGCAAAAGTAGCATTACCATGTACTGCTTCATTCGTTGGAGTGCCGTCTGTGTTAGGAATATTACATATGGCCTTAATACGTAACTTCAGATCTCTATTTAAGTTGTCTACTGTTGCTCGGATCCGTAGATGTTTATTTCATAAGAGAAAATGCTAAATGCTTCAAAAATTTCTTCTAAACATTTTAGTATCAGCAAGGTTGTTACTTGCATAAATCACCAGCGAATTAATGAATGCAATATTTAGTATGGTGTTAAAAATTACCATGGGCCAACGTCTTGTTTTTCGCGAAACATAATAAGAGGAGCATAGCTGATCAACGACTTCAATCCCGCCTTTTGTTTTGTTATAAACCGTCAGAATTTCTGATTTATAATGTTCAAATGTTTCTCTATCTATAGCGTCGTCATCGTATACACTTAAAACAAGCAATACAACTTTCTTCTTTTTGGGGGTATACGACACTAGGGTACATGTATCGCTAAAGGCGAACATACTTGATTTTAGAGGACGAGATCCTTGAAGTAATTCAGGGGGCAGTTCTCTTTTGTTCTTTCTAATGGTTTCCACAACAGTTAATCCAAATTATTTTTTTAAAACATCTATTAGAGGAATGCTAATAAACCAATTATCTAGAGTAGTGTTGCGTCCAGAATTCTTTATTGGCGCACACATTCTTTTTACAACTTCTTTCGGGGAATTGTCTACAGTAAATGGGCCATCTGGTTGACGACCCTCATAAACCTTCATATTTATGGATTTATGGTACAATACATTTCAGCATCAAATAAACTAAAAATTTTGAGCCCATACTCTGAGGGTTTGCTTGGAGTATATTATATCCAAGGGCAATTCCCTAAAAATCCAGGAAGCATTTTATCGTATGTTAAATTTTGCGAAGAGTTATATCCCGATTTACACTTTTCTACGAATTTGTCAAAAAATACTCGGATGGCGGCCATCTTATCCAGTCTTCTACGTTCTTCACGACCGACCTTATCATCAAATCTAATGCATCTTAGAAGAAACCGAAATCGGGATAAGAACATAACTAGTCTAAATATTTTCGATACCTTCACCATTAGTTTGCCAGATATCTTCTGTATTCAGGTGATGGGCCTTATATGTCCCTGCCAAATATAAAAGGCCTATAAGAGCGCGAATTTTAGATGGGTTTGTAATCTTTACATCCTTCTTCCTAGAGAAATGGCTTGCTATAGTTTAAATGTATTTATTAGTGGATTCCACAATTACGTAAATCATGTCCTCATCAATGAAATAACTCCATATTTCATAAACTTTTTTAAACTTTTTCGTAAATCTATTAGGCCCAGGTAATAAGTTTTTTCTTTGATGCTTTCTCCACACTGTACCATCTTTTCCCCCAAAAACACTTTCTTTTTGTACATTATTCAGTAAAACTTCTCTTATTGCCTCTAAATCTTGTTCCTGTTTGCATTCCGAATCTTTCAACCTCTCATCAATAACTTCCGGACTTACTTCATTCTCGTCATCGTCGTCGTTATATTCTATATCAAGCGGTCTTGTTCCATGAGGGCTTAAAGTCTCCTTTGTTCCTTCTCATAGTCCATTCTAAAAATAAAGCCAAACGAGTTATATATAAAACTTTGCTGTAGCTTATATATATATATATATATATATATATATATTTATATATATATATATATATAATGGCTATACACCCCAGCGTGGGGTTAAACCGCAAATGCTTTCTAGATCCTATTTCTTAAGTGGATCAGTCTTTTTTTTTTGTTTATCCTATCTTCTTGACAATATCTCTTCATTTTTTTCCTGTCTCTAGTTCTTCCTCTCCATTCACTGACTCCTGCCCTTTGGAGGTCTTCTTCAACTTCTTGCAGCCACTTTGATCTCGGTCTTCCCCTTCTCATTCTTCCTCCTGGATTTCATTCTATCATTGCGTATCTAACCATCTAACTCTGCATTGCTTTATTTTAGTTACGATGCTTCCTTAAGTTCTTCCTTAATTTCTGCATTTGTTCTGCGTTCTATATTCATTTTGCTCTGTTCTGATTGGTCCTAGTATGGTTCTCATAATTTTTCTCTCTGCAATTCTTGTCTTCTTCATCTTTTTTAACCATCGTCATTGTTTCCCCTGCATATAAATAATATTGGTCTAATTATGGTGTTATAAATGCTCATCTTGCTTTTTTTAGTCAGTGTTTTGCTTTTAAGTAATCTTTTGTTTGCAAAATAAGCTTTATTTCGCTGCTAATATTTTTTCTTTTATTTCGGATTTCCTTTCTCCGGATTTACTTATTGTAACTCCTAGGTATTTGAAGTATTCTACTTCTTCAAACTCGGAACTTCCTATTTTGATTTTTTTCTTCATTGGTTTTTTCCCTAATCTTAATATTTTTGTCTTTTCTTCATTTAATCTTAGCCCCATTACCTTCCCTTTCTCTCTTATTTCTTCAAGCATTTCTTCATTATTTTTCTGTTCTTTGCAATAATAGCAATATCATCTGCATATGCAATTATTTGACCACCTCTTGTTCTGAGATTTCCTTTATTTATATTTCGCAGTACATATTCTAATGCTAGATTAAATAGCGTTGTTGATAAGGCATCTCCTGTTTCATCCCTTTATTTATACTGAATTCCTCTGTCTCTCCACTTTGTCTCTTTATGCTTATTTTTGTAGTTCTCATTGTCATTTCTATTAATTTTCTGAGTTTATGTGGAATTTTTAATTTTTTAAGTGCTGTCATTAATACGTTGCTTTTAATTGAATCAAATGCCTGTTTGAAGTCTATGAATAACATTTCCAATTCTAATTTATACTCGTTTGCTTTTTCCATTATTTGTTTTA